TTTTCTAGTAATATATATTGAGATTCTTAAGCAATCTTTAGAATTCAAAGCATAAAAAAAAATTAAGGCATTTAACATTCAATTGAAAATTGTTTTGTTTTATTCTACTCCATTCAGTAAAAGAAATATCCATTTTGACTCCATCTATAATACGTGATGATACAGAATTACTAGTTTTAATCATAGGACATATTCGATAATCAATTGATTATAAGTAAGTAGACATGCAAATTTTCCAAAAATTAAAAGAAATATTTTCAAATAAAGGTGGTCGCATGATTGAATATCCTTCTATAGTATTAGTATTTCCAAAGTGAGCCATTAATCCTTTTTCAAATGATTTTTAAACTTAAATTATGAATCCCACTCTTATATCACTTGAAAGTTCATGAAGGTTGTTAGACCTTACAGAACTAGTCTTAAGGCTAACCAAGAGTGAGGGAGAATCCGTGATTTAAAAACTTTTTAAACACAAAAATAAATGCCAAAGTATAGAAAAAATAAATGTAAATAATAAAGGAAAACTAAAACTAAGAACAAGCTTGTCAGAGATTTATAGTGGGTCAGTCAACCTGACCTATGTCCACTTCTTAGAATCTCCTATTCTATGTATTGCACAAAACCTTTAGTGTCTATCCTTTAGCCCCCACAGCTAGATAAAGAAGCTCTTACAAAATCTCTTCCATCAATCCTGTGCGGTAGAGGACTGTACACCTTTTACATGTAGAAAACATTGACTCCTTTTCACCTTCCTGGTGAGGTAGAGAATCTTGAATCATGTTTACCTTTAGCAATGTGGCAGAGTAGTCAGGTTCTTTCACACCAAAGAGATTTTCTTCTTCCCAAAATTTTTTCATGAGATAAACCTTGAATTCAATGGTACTAAAATGAAAGCTTATTGGATTAATCGTGTAATACACCCTCAACACTCCCTTGAAACCCATAATGATCTTCTCCCTCTCAAACTCCACCCTTTCCTCTCTCCCTTTTAGGCTATCTCTTTAGGTTTTCTCTAGAAGAATGGAGACCCAGTACATGCCAAATGACACTTACATTTTCTTTGGAGAAAGCTTAAATGGAGGGCTTTAAAATCCCTAGAAAGTCAATTCTTCCATTAAAGATTATACAATATGATCATAACATTACCTACTATGATGTGCAAAATTTGACCTGATAGTACTATACTATCCCTAAATAGTCTAGTACGATCAGTTCAAATTTGAACTAATCATCTAGTACAATATGGGGGATTATTCCGGACAATTAAATAAATAATTATGGTATTTCTCTTATACAATTAGGGGTCATCCCGTGAACCCTCTTGATCATCCAGTTTGATTATTACTAATCATTATAGATGAATAGATTGAACAAATCAACCATAATTAGTCCCCTAATCATTGGATAAATTTAGGCATGATTATCATAATTCAACCAATATGATGCAAATCGTCCTAGATGATTAGAACAAAATTTGAATCTTAAATTCTTACCTAAATTATTATTGGTGGTTATTTTTCATAATCATAACTGATCATCTAGTATAATTTTTTAAATGAACTGATCATACAATATAATATATATCTTATAGTACGATGAGTTCAAATATTGAACTTTTAATTTTGACTCAATCTCACTCCCCGTAAGTTTTTATGTGTGTGTGAATGGTCATCAAGCAAGTATTCATCCTTAAAGGACTTAACTCAAGAAATAAAAAATATATCTCAATTAATATTAAAAAAAATCATTACAGTATAACCTATTTTACCCAATCTTGAGCCTTGAATCTTCATTGGATAGAGCATGGTGTTCCTGAAATATTAGTACACCCAAAAATAAATATACACTACAAATATAAGTAGATATAAGAATGTGAGCCACAATATTTGTTATCATAAAAATATAAACTCATGAACTCAATTTGTAATACGCAATCCCCTTATTATTCGATTAGGTCTTATTGGTTATAGATGAAAATGGAAGCTCCATAGATGTCCTATTCTTCTATACTTTTATTAATATGGGTCTCACCATAAAAAAAAAACTTGTTGTAGGTCCACTGTAGGGGTTTGATAATCGACCTGTGTGAGTAGAAGGGACAATTAGTCTCCAATTATACTTATAGAATTTCCTCGATAGATTACATAATCCATCCAGTTCATTATATTAAAGTATGAATTGGCTTATAATGCTATCTTTGGAATGCCACTACAATCCATATTTGTGATTATTTCCTCCATCCCTCACCTTAAAATGAAGTTTCTTACCTGGCGGGAGTCAGTGTAGTATGCGGAGATAAAATAAATAGCACAAACTTGCAACTTAGGTAGGCTTAACCACATCCAACAGTTACCTTTCTCTCTTTATCTCTCTACTTTGGGAGATTCTGAGGAGATTTAGGGCTCCGCTCATCCTCTTCCTCTCATTGCTCCTAGAGTGGCTAGTTTGGTCTATTTCATGCACTTTTTTCCTTATTTTCTTCTTTGGTTTTTCTTGCTCTTGATTTTGAGGGTTCTCTTAATTTTTTATTTCTTGTGGAAGTTGATGTTCCTGACATCATCTATCCCCATATTGTCTTCATTTCCTGATGGAAAAACTTGCTCATTTAAGGATGTTTTAGTGGTTTCTTCTTCATCTTCTACTAAGATGCCTTTTGTTCACACTTCCTTCAAAGGATGTCTTGCTCTGATGTTTGATGATTTGGTTGTGTCGCAACTTGTTGCGCCATTTACTCTTACATTAGTTGACAAGTTTGTTCTTCGTAGACCTAACCTAGATGTGATTCATAAATTCATTATGAACCTCATGCTTTATAGTTCCTTTCACATAGGTCTATTGGATTTGCATCACATCGCTATTCAACTCACCAACGATCTTGATTACAGTTGCATTTTCTCTTAGAGAGGTTATTATATTCAATCTTGTCAAATGAGATTACTTAAATGGACTCCTGATTTTTATGTGAGGGAGGAATCCCCTATAGTGCTTGTATGGATCTCATTCCCGAATTTTTGCCTCCACTTTTTTAATTCTCAGATTTTATTTGGTTTGGTCTCAATCTTTGGTAGACCATTACAAATTAACCAAGCTACTACATCTATTTCAAGACCTTCTATGGATTGTGTTTTGTTTGAGTTGGATATTTCCAAAAAGTATCCGAATGAGATTTGGATAGGTTCTGAATTAAATGGTTACTTCTAAAAAGAGAAAATTGAAAACCTTCCTATTTTTTGTTCACATTGCAAGATGCATGGTCATCGGGTTAATGAGTGTTTTAGGTTGCATCCTCATCTCTGTAAGGAGGTCTCAACTAATGATTCACTTGGTTTGGATGGTCCTGCAGGTTATGGTAATAATATGCCTCCTAATATTATGATTGAAGGAAATGTGTCTAACCTGCAGGTTTCGATTGAGGCTACCATCCCTAAAGTGTTTGTGGATCAAACTCTTATGCTGTAGGATGATACCGATAAATTTATAGAATGTGCCTTAATTCATAATGAGCCATCTTCAACACTTATTACTAACCCTAATTGTGTCCAGGGAGTAAATTCTACCTCTTCTGTGTTTATGGAGGAGCATGTGTGGATGAGCAAGGGCTGAATTCTACTATTATTCAAATATTTGTCTCATCTATAGCTCCTATTCAATGTGTTACTAATAATAATTTACTTAATATGGATACAATTATGGTTAAGGATAATTATCCTAATTTGGTTTCTAATCAAGCTATTTTTATTGCTCAGGATGAAGACTAAGGTGGTATGGTGCATAGTAATGTTGATAAAAGTAAATCTATGGTGGAGGATGGCTGTAGCTTAGAGGGTGATGATTTTCAATAAGAGGTTTGACAGGAAGGTTTGAATGATGATAATAAGCTTTTATTAAAATCATCTTCTTATAGTGATGCTTTTAATAATATTGATGATATGGAGATTATGGCTAAATGCTTTGCTAAAGATGATAATGATACAAGGAGCATTAAGTTTCATAGTAAGAGAGGAAGAAAGAAACATCATATCACATTACAATCTCCTAGGACCACTCTCTTGCAAACGTTTCATTAATTACATTTTTTATGTTTACTACTATTATTTGGAAGCAAAAAAACTCCCCTAGAGAGAGAAGCTCCCGTTTTTTGATCTAGAGAGAGAATCTGTTCGTGTTTTGATTTTTTGAATTTCACGGGTGATTTGTGATCGTGCTTCCTTGTTGAGGATGGTGGTTCAGGATCGCCGGCAGCAGCTTGCCGGCGGTAATCCTCCGTCGGACCTCAAACGTAATGTTCCTCTTAGAGTTGATGATCAAAGAACTTTAAAGAATCGTAATGGAGTTCTGGATCAAGAACTGTTCAGGGTTTCATCCAATTTGGTAATCAGAGAAGGATGTAGGCCTCCAATGAGATTAGATCCTATTGTTGAAGGGAAGGGCAAAGGAATTCTCATTTATCAGATTATTGAGGGGAAGAACATTCCGATTTCTTCTGTTATGGCTAAACAAGAAGAGCCGCCTGTTGAATTTTTGAAAATTCAACAGGTCTAGAGATTATTGAACAAGAGAATCAGGATCAGGTCTGTAAGATTCTTAAGGAATCAATTGATCATAATAAAGAAAATGTAGAAGATGCGGTGGAAAGGAATGTTGAATCTGAACCAGTTAACAGTTTTCAATCGGCTTGGCAAAAAATGCAGCATATCAAATTGAATTTTGATAATCAGTCAACCTATTTTTCTGAAGATGGAATTGCAGTAAAACTCAATAGTAACAAGGAAATTGCCAACTCCCAAATTTTGAAGAAATCTCTGGTTGTTAAAGTACTGGGATCTAATATACCATTCTCTGTTTGTAGTCAAGAATTGAGGAGATAATGGGGTAAGCTTGGTAGCTTTCATATTACAACATTGGGCTGTAATTGGATGCTCTGTTCGTTTACCACCTTGGAATCTATGGAAGAAGTGTTAAGTGGAGGTCCCTGGTACATATGGAATCAGATTATAGGTATGGATAGATGGTCTTCATCTTTCTCTATTAATTCTCTTAAGGGAATCACTTCTCCAGTTTGGATTAGATTTCTGGGTTTACCATTGAGTTGCTCGGATGAAGAAAATATTCCTATGATTGCGTCCATGATTGGAAGTCCTATGATGCTTGATGAAAATTCACTCAAATGGAGTAAAAGAGAATATGCTCGATGCTGTGTTAGAATTGATCTAGAGAAGAAACTTCCTAGGGGAGTTTGGATTGAAGGGATTCATGGTAGAACCTTTCAACGTGTTGAATATGAGAAACTTTATTCTCTCTGTTATTGCTGTGGCAAAGTTGGACACAGTAAAGATGTTTGTCCTGATGCAGTCATTCAAATAAAAGAAAAAATGACACAAGACCATATAGAAGTGCTAGATAAATCTGAAACTGAGAAAAGAGGTGTAATAATGCAGCAATCTGAAGAGTATGGATCTTGGATCCATGTTAAATTCAGAGACCGAAGAATCAAAAATAATAAGAAATATGGTGGATTTAATAACAAAAATAAATAGGTTTTTAGACCTGTGGAACCGAAGAAGCAAAACCAGAATATGGATCAACAGATTGATGCAAAATCAGAAGTGAATCTGAAAAAATCAGTAAATCTGGAAGATAAGGTGAATGCTGGAAGAATACATGACATACCAATTGGAATAAATAAATTCCAAGCTTTGGAAGAAGATCTGGAAGAAGGAGAGTTAAATGAAGAAGTAGAGACAAGGCTTATAGAGAAAATGGAACCACCTGGACAAAAAGGCAGCAATCTGTTACTCAGAATTCCAGATACAGAACAGAATAGTGAAGATCAATTGAAATCTATCTCAAATTCTGGTAAAGTAAAACTAGCCAAGGAATTGAGATATTTGGGACCTATGGAAGCTGATACAAAGAAGAGAAGAGGAACTAAAATAAACATTGGAATAATGGGGGATCATTCCCCTATTATGTCTAAATGGCTTCACTTATTTTTTGGAATTGTAGGGGGGCTAGGAAGAAGGAGACCGCCCGTTACCTTAGAGAAATTGTAAAAGATAATAAAGGTTTTTTCATTGGGTTAACTGAAACAAAGATGTCATCACTTGATGGAAATGACATTAATCAGATTATGGGTACAGATTTGGATTACTTTCATCAACCTGCAAATGGTGTCTCGGGTGGTATTCTTGTGATGTGGAAAAAGGATACAACATCCTTTGAAGTTCTGAATAACTCCTCCCAATTGATTATGGGAATTCTCAATGTCAACAACATGGGTAAATGGAACATTGTTACTGTTTATGGAAGTAATGATGCTTATGAACGTAAACCCCTTTGGCAGCAGCTAGAAGAATGTATGATTGGAAACGATCCATGAATTATTGTAGGTTACTTCAATTGCATCCTCTCCAAGGAGGACAAGAGAGGTGGGAAAAGATTCCACCTTTCTTATGGTACTAAAGATATGAAGATGTTTCTAATGAACAATGATTTTCATGATATTGGATTTATAGGTCCAAAATACACTTGGTGCAATAATAAAGAGGGAAATTCCAGAATTTGGGAAAGGCTTGATAGATGTTTATTAAAGTCCACAGCTCTTTAATGTATCCCAATGGCTAAGGTACATCATTTGTCTAGAGTTGCTTCAGATCATGCACCTATTGCTATCAAATTGGTGGAATCCCAAAAACAAAATTGTGTAGTTTTAAGGTTTGAAGATACATGGAAGTCTTATCCGGCCACTTGGAATATCATTTCAAAAGCTTGGAAGAAAATGGATTTTGGTACTAATGCTGAAATACTTCAAAGAAAGCTGAAGAGATCTTTAAAATCTCTTTACTATTGGAACAAGAACAAATGCAAAGAACTTAATTCCTTGAAAGAAGAATTGAAGAAGGACATCTTACAACATCAAGTTGAAGAATCCAGCTGTGGTGGTTTAACGACTGATAAATTGAAATCTTTAAGGAGTAAAGTCCATGAACTTAATGTGACTTTAAGAAGACTAGCTACTTGGTGGAACCAAAGGGCTAAGGTAAAATGGCAACAAGATGGAGATATAAATTCTAGATTCTTTCACCAATATGCTTCGGCTAAAAGGAATGGAAACAAAATTTGGAAAATCAAAGATAAGCATGGGACTACTGTTGATGATTTGGAGCAAATTGAGTTTTTACAGTTTTTTTCAGGACAAATGGACTGCTAGAGGATGCAAGCTGACGGGATGGCCTTCATGCCCAGAAAATCTGAGAATATCGAAGGAGAATGCTAAGCAACTGAATGAGGATTTTACAAAAAAAGAGTTGATCAATGTGGTCTTCAAACAAGGTAATAATAAATCAATTGGGCTGGATGGTATTACTAATTCTTTTTTCAAATTTTATTAGAAGATTGTGGGAGATGATACTTTGAAAGCCATTTAGGAATTTTTTAGAACTGGTATCATGCATAGTGATTGGAAGGACACCCTTATTATTCTCATTCCTAAAATTAAAAATCCTATAACTCCATCCAACTTTAGGCCTATAAGTTTATGTCAAACCACATATAAACTAGTGGCTTCAATGATTGTTAAAAGAATGAAGTATTTCATTGGCAATTGTATCACTGAAGAACAAGCTGCTTTCCTTCATGGTAGATCGATGTCTGATCTTGTCCTTCTTGCTCAAGAGGTATTCAATACGATGAAGATTTCTAAGAGGAAAAAAGGTTTTATGGCGGTTAAACTAGATATGGAACAAGCTTATGATAGCATGTGTTGGGATACTTTATTTCAAGTATTAAATATGTTTGGCTTTCCTATGAAGTTGAATATGCTAGTTATGGAATGTATTAGAAATGCTAGATTTGCTTTCATTTTGAATGGTAAAAATTCCAAATGGATTGCTGCTAAGAATGGCTTTAGGCAAGGTTGCCCTCTATCTCCATTCTTGTATGTCCTTTGTTCTCAGCTTCTTTTCTTTGGCTATCACACAAAGGGGCCAAGATTTGGGAATTCAGGTTTCCTGTAGAGCAAACAATATAAGCCACTTGTTGTTTGCTGATGATGTGCTCTTATTCTCTAAAGCTACCAAGCGACTTGCTGTCAAAATGAATAAAATTGTAAGAGATTTTTGCTCTTGGACTGGACTACAAATTAACATTCCTAAATCTCAAATTCTGTTCAGCAAAAGAATTAATAGAGTGGATAAAATTAATATTATGAAGATTTTAAAGTTTAAAGTGGTGGAGGAATTTCAATACCTGGGAATCAAACTTATGTTGAGAAGGCCTTTGAAAGTTGATTTCAAATTTTTATTAGATTCAGTCTTAACTAAACTGAATTCTTGGGGTAGCAAAAGCTTATCTATGGTGGGGAAAATGACTCTTGCTAAGTCATCTCTTCTTACTTTACCAAACTTTATTTCCACCCATTCTTTGGTTCCTAAGAAGATCTTGTATGAGATTGATAAATGTTGTAGGAATTTCATTTGGCATAAAAGAGATGGGAATAAAGGTATGCACTACATTTCTTGGAAGACCTTATGCAAAGCAAAAGATCAAGGTGGTTTGAGCTTTCACTCAGCGGTTTGTAGAGCTGGACCCCTCAAAGCTAGGTTGACTTGGAGACTTATTCAAAATTAGAATCTTTACTTCATCAGATTATTGATGCCAAATATGGTGATAGTTGGTGGAAAGGGAGCCGTAATGTGGGAAAATCTATTGCTTGGAAGATCTTGAAGGAGGGAGCTGAATACTTAAAACCTCTTTTGAGGTGGAGAGTGGTCAATGGGAGAAATATTAGTGTATTATCAGATGTTTGGTTATTAGATAGATGTTTAGATGATTGGCCTATTAGTGTGGACTGTGGGAATTTGGTTGGCATGATGCTGAATCAATTCATAACAGTGAACGAACATTGGGACAAGGATAAACTGTAAAGGTACTTTCCTGATGAGATTATCAGTGTGATTTTGCAAATTCCGATTGAAACAAGTGCAATAGCAGATTATAGGGAGGAGATTAGTTTTCTTTCAGGGAAAACTATTACAGCCCGTGCATTTGAGAACTATAACAAAAACAGCATCTGTGATGAAGATAATGGATTTCATAAATGGCTAAAAAATTTGAAATTATCTGCCCGTGTTCAATTTTTTTGGTGGAGATTGAGCAAGTCAGCTTTACCCACTAAGGAATTTTTGAAACTAAGAAGACTTACTACTGAAGACAGGTGCGTGAGAGGATGTCCTGAAATTGAAAATCTGGAACATATTACAGTTTGCTGTTTAGATCTGCAGAAAATTCTAAAACAGATCCAAAGTTGGGGAATTTACATTCCTGTCTTTAACACTTTGGAGGAGTGTTTGGTTGAGCTGAAAGTCAATTCTACAATTAACCCAAACTTAGCTAGAATCTATTGCAATGCAGTCTTCTATAATTGGAAAAACATAAAGGCCATTAAGCATGGGAAATCTGCTGTTCGTATCACTACCATTGCAACTGAAGTTCTCTTCTCAGCTGTAAATACAGCTAATCCTATCATTCGTAACTGGGGTGCTAATCTCCCTAGGGAGTTCCAAGCTCTTTGGCACCCTCCACCGATTGACTAGATTAAGGTTAATGTGGATGCTTCTCTTCTTACTTCTTATAGTGCTAGCATTAAAAGATGTTTTAGAGACTTTAAAGTGAGATTATTACTTGCTTTTGGTGAAAAGAGAACACATTGGGATATTAATAGCCTTGAGCTTGATACTGTTATGGCACTTAGGAAGCTTATACAACCATGGATGCTTGAGAGTAAAGGAATCATAATTGAAGGTGATAACATCAATGTTATCAAATTCATACAACATTCATTGAACAAGGCTAAATGGCAAAATAATAATGGGACGGAGGAGGATCTTCTCTTCTTAACTGACTTCAATAAGGTAATTCTTCATCATGTGCATAGGAATTGTAATAATGTAGCTGATTTATGTGCTTCTATGGCTAGAGATAACAATTTTTACTTTGATAGTTCTTCTTTTGCCAATATTCCTCCTTCACTTTGTTCGTTGTTGAAGGAGTGTGAGCACTATCTTTAGATTGTATCTTGTTTTTTTTTTGTTTTTCTCATATTAATGCTAATTGCATTCTTCAAAAAAAAAAATACTATTATTTGGAATCTTCGGGGTATTGGTTGTCCCTCTTCTAGATTAAGTGTTAAGAATTTTTGTCATGCTCATAATGTTTTTATTCTTGTTTTGATTGAGCCTCTTATTTCTTCTACTAGGTGCCTTAGCACCTCTCAGTTTTTGGAATTTAATTATGCTATTTTGAATGTGGCTAATATAATCTGGGTTCTCTAGAAGGATCTAGTTAAAATTGTTCTTATTGGTGACTTTATTCAGGTAATGCATTGTAATGTTGAGGATTTTAATTTTCATTGTTGTGCTTCTTTTATTTATACTGCTTATTCCCATTACATTAAGAAATTGGTTTGGGATCAAATCATTAATTTTCATAGTATTTGTAATTTACCTTGTCTTGTTGGTGGTGATTTTAATGCAATTACTAACCCTTCTAAGAGGATAGGAGGCTCATCCCCTTCTTATCGTTCTATGGAAGATTTTGGTAACATAATTTTGGATTCTAATTTAATCGATATCTATTTTTCTGGTAATAACTTCACTTGGAATAGGAGGCACTTATGGCACTGTTTGGATCGTATTTTGTTTAATGATTCTTGGTTTAACTCTTTTAATTCCATTAATGTTCAGTGTCTTAGTAGGACTCTTTCTAACTGGTCCCTTTACTTATTAACCTTAATTTTAGATAATTTAATGCTCCTCCTCAATTCTGATTTCAAAACATATGATTACTTCATGATTCCTTTTCTAATGTTGTTCAGAATAATTGGCAAGCTCCTTTACATCCGGATAATTCATGTTTTGGTATGAGGAGACTTTGGTTTTAGCTGAAAAGGCTTAAGAATGTTTTAAATTGGTGGAACCATAAAGTGATTAAAAATGTTTTTACCAATATTTTGCAAGTGGAGCACCAAGTTGATATTATTGAGTCTACTTATCAAGTTGATCCTTCTGATGCTAATTTAACTTTATTATGAAATGCTAAAAAGATGCTTTTTAAATTACAAGCTTATAAGGTGGCATTTGGAAACAGAAAGCTGTGGCTAAGCACCGAGTTGAAGGTGATAATAACACTAAATATTTCCATGCTTTGGTCAAAAGGAAAAGGGCTAGAAATTATATTAATAAAATTCAACAGGAGGATTATTCTGTTACTGAGAGTACTGTGAAGATTTCTAATTTAGTTGTTCAGCATTTTTAAAATCACCTCAATAAGAATTTTAGTCTGGTTCAAATTTTTTATCTTTATTTTATTCCTTTCTAAACC